TTGCAGGAAAACTGCAGATAATTATCGTCCAATATGTATTCAAAATCAGTTGTCAAAAGTATTAGATTTCCTATTTTATAATCGGTTAATAGCATACCTCGAAAAAAACAACTTATTAAGTAACAGACAAAATGGTTTTAGACCAAAGAAATCAACACACACTGCGATAGCCAATGATTTAGAATTTATTTATGAAGGTCTTAATAACAAAGAACAAATTATTGGAATATTTTTTGATTTGAGTAAAGCATTTGACTCAATGGATCATCTTTTAATATTTAAAAAGCTTTAAGGTATGGGTGTAAGGGGTATATCGAATCAATGGGTAAAATCATATTTGCATGATCGCGAAAAGGTAGTTGTTAATGGTGGTAAAAGATCCGCACTTCTGTCGGTTTCATTGGGCGTGCCACAGGGCTCTGTTCTTGGTCCCCTTTTCTTCTTAATTTTTATTAATGACATTTGTCACTTGAAAAATAATAATAGCAACATAATTTTGTATGCAGATGATACAAATATGCTAATAAAAAACAATGATTTAAACGATCTTTCTTCTGACGCGTGTATGACGCAAAAATTTGGGAATTGGTGTAACAATAATGGCCTTAAAGTAAATATTGAAAAAACTGTTTATACAAGATTTGTTACAAAAAATATGTCCTTAGATTATGATCTACATATTAAACTTAACCATATGACTATCCCATCAGTTCAACAAAATTTTTATTTTGCAAAAAAACATTTTAAGATGCATGGCTGGCAAAAACCAATCTTTTTCTTGTAAAATTTTATTTAAATCCTTTAAGATTCTAACTTTACCTTGCTTATATATACAAAACATAATACTATACATATACAACATTAAGCATTCACTACAATGTTATGATAATATACATCCATACGAAACAAGAAATAAAAAAAATTGTATCCCCCTTACTCAAGGTTATCAATAAGTCAGTCTAGCCACATATACCAAAGTATTAAGTTTTATAATAAAATTTTTGATTTAGTAAAAAATTTTCAAAATGTTAATGTCTTGAAACATCGTCTTAATATATTGTTTACAGATAAAGTTTATTATAGCGTAGAGGAATTTTTAAGTGATAATTTTAATTAAGTGTTTTTATTTATTGTGTAATTTTAATAGTAAATATATATTTGTATTTTATATCAAGTATTTCTCTAATTATTCTGTTTTGTATATATTGACTAGTCTAATAAGTATTTCACTGCTGTCTTTGTAATGCTTTAAGGATGAATAAACTATTATTATTATTATTTGGATTCCAAAGAAATTTCACGATTTCCTTAGCAATGAAGCCATTGAGGAATATAACACCAAACAAGCTAAATCGTTATATTTAATTGTTGTTGATAAAAAACCTATAAGGGAAGGGATTGTTCTGTGTAGGGGAGAGCGGGGATGGTTTGGACAATAAAAAAAATAATTTTTTTCTTTATTATACTTAAACAGAATCAATTTTGGTGCTATATAGTAAGTATATAATATATTATGTCGTTTATAACAACCAAAAATATAAAAAAAATACTTAAAAGGAAATTAATTTTTTTGTATAAATACTCTATAGAATCAAGTGTCCAGACTATCCCGTCGAATCAGGTTGGTTTGGACAAAAAAAGTGTTATTTAACAAAAAATAAATATATTTAGGATACATGTCCATAATAATTATATGAACATAAAAGTCACTTCAGACTAAAACTAAACAACAAAATTATTGAAAAAATTAAGATTTATTTATTTATTATAAGTTCGATAAAATCAGGATACACACTTCTTTCTAAAAATTATTTTGAAACATAAAAGTCACTGTAGGCTAAAATTGAAAAATAAAAAATAAAAACAACAATAAACAATGCTAAATTCAGCCAAATCAATATTAAAATAAATCATATTCAAATATCTTGGTCGAGTATCGATGATGGGGGGCGGCAATTTCACAACCACTTCATTCTCTTTGATGAATGCTGGCTTCTTATCAGACACCGTAAATCTGTTTGAAGTTATATGCCGCTTTAAAAACTGAACATCGTATCCTTGAAGAACTTCCTCAGTGACTCTGGCAACAAAGTTTCTTGTTGATTTTAAGGTTTTTTCCGTGAACTCTACAAACCACATAGTCGCCATTTTGAATATGAGCCAAAGTGCTTGATTCTTGATCTTCGTCTCCTGAATTCCTGATTCCGACGTCGGTGTGAACGGTTGTGTATACGATTGACCTTAGCATTGACCACGACGAATTTCGGCACTTCTTGAGCTTGGCTGCATTCCCAACTGTGAGTGTTGATCTTTCTTTTGTTTTAATAGGAGCATATCATTTAAAATAAGTTTTATTTGGCACCGCGACCAGCATGGCCGGTCGCGGCCGCGGAAAGCCACCTGATCCGGGTGTTTCTCAGACAGGGGCTAACAATTATTTAGATGATGAAGTAGTAGATAAACATTTGATTGATGCTGCTGAGGGTCTCCTATCACTTGGAGATACTCCTGCCGCTATTACATCGCAATTTGCTGACAAACAAAAAACGCATTCTCTTGATAAAAAAACGGAGCGTGAAAAAACTGAACATTATGTTGAATTAAATAAAATGTACAATAAAATTAGATACGGTTTATATGATCCAGGACCATTTGTCATTAACGTACAATCAATGGATTCATCCATTTTAAATCATCAAAAATTGGGAAAGTCCTTGTTTACTGATAAATTGCCTAATATTATCCGGGTTACAAAAAGAGGTAAAAACAGATCTGCAATTTATTTTAAAACTTTTGAATCCGCCAATCAATTCTTGGATAACGAAATTTTTTTGAATAATAATAAACTGGTTGCCTCAATTCCAAGACACTTAATCTCAACAAAAGGTCTTATTAGAAACGTTGATGTAGATTTCACAGAAGAAGAAATTAAGGAAAACCTAGCGGCTATGAATACTAAAAGGGATATCCTAGAGGTAAGAAGGATTAAAAGAAAAGAACGTACAAAAGACGGTGATATCAATATTGTAAATACTTCAATGGTCATATTCTCCATCAGGGGTAAATACATCCCAGAACGTATGGACCTTTTCTATTCCTCACATTTGACTTCCACATATATAGAACCGGTTATTCAATGCTTTCGATGCTTGCACTATGGGCATACCATTTCTCAATGCAAAGGTTTTGAATCATGTGACAAATGTGGGGACAAGATGGAGAATAAAGATTCTCATAACTCCTGTGTGATTAAATGTAAATTTTGTGGTAATGCTCATTCCTCCACTGAAAAAGGGACTCCTTTCAAAGATAGAAAGTGCCCAGAGTTCCTAAGACAAAAATCTATCAAAGAAATTATGGCTAAGTATAAACTTACATTTTTTGAGGCTTCCAAAAAAGTTCCTAGGATTAACAACTCGGTTTCTCCTAATGAAAATTCGACTTTTAATCCTTTATCCAGTCAATTTCCCCCCCTTTCTTCACAAATTGTTCCTGATGACAGTGTGGAACATTCGCCCTCTAAAAATAGAAAATTTACCAAAGTTATTTCAAAGGTGGTTTTCCAACCGGTTAAAAGATCAGCTCAATTCTCAGAGCAGTCCCACGTCAATCAAAGCGGAAGGCTTCCAAATAGCCCTCAAAAATCACCGTGCTTTTCAAAGTCAAGTACTACTCAATCGTCTACTGAGGTACCTGACGTTAATAACACTTTCCTACAGCTATTTATTCAGTTATCCAAGTCTAATCCAGACTTGTTAATTCAGCTATATAATGAATTTTTTGGTTCGGTCGATTGCAACCCTGATCAGGCAAATGAACTCATGGTCATGGGGAGTGATAACGAATCTATTTAAATTTTATGGTTAGTATAATACACTGGAACCCAAGAAGTATAGTTAACAAACGCCACGAGTTAGAACTCTTAATTCATAATAACAATCCAGATATAATTTCAATCTCCGAATCCTGGATTAAACCCAATATCCAACAATTTTTCTCACACTCTAAATACAACTTTGAACCTTGCTGCAGAGCTGATGGCAAAGGAGGAGCTGCCCTTCTAATAAAACGAAATATCAGATATTTTGTTGTTGATTTGAAGTTTCAATTTAACGAGGTTCAAGCGGTAGCTAGCAAAATTAACGACTGCATCTATTGCACAGTATATATTGCTCCGTTATTTAAATCCACTAAAAGGTTTTGGCATGATATTTTTTTGTTTCTGGGTAATAAATATATCTTGGTTGGAGATTGTAATTCCAATCATATTAGTTGGGGTAGTTCCTTTTCAAATGCTAATGGTAGAGTTCTTTTTGATTACATTAATAATAACAATTTAGTCATTCTGAACGACTGTAAACCAACTCTCCTATCTTTTCAAAGTAGAAGTGTAATTGACATGGCAATTTGCTCATCTAATATTGCTTTGCTTTGCAACTCTGAAACGATGACTAGTACATATAGCAGTGATCACTTTCTAATTTCAGTTAACTACATTTGTACGCCGGTCACCCTGCAGACTACTCTTTCTCACACATTTCCTAAGAGAAATTTTAAAAAGGCAAATTGGTTATTATTTTACGAGGTCTGCACTCAAATATTTAGATCGGGGCCGATCAATTATGAAAACTTCATTATTTCGCTATTACAGGCAACCCAATGAAGAGTCAGATTAGATTTCATAAAGTGTCCCCCTGGTGGGACGAAGAGTGCAAGGATTGTGTTAGGAATCGTGAAGGTGCTCTACGCGCATTCAATTCTACCGGTTCCAGAGAATCTTTCATTACATATAAAAAAGTATGTGCGATCACTAGAAGGAAGTTTAGGGAAAAAAAACGTTTGGCCTTTCAAACTTTTGCAGAGAGCCTAAATAGAAACTCCAATATCACAGAAGTTTGGAACAACATTAAAAGGTTTAAAACGGGTCTTTTCAGAAAAAATGCCTTTACTGCTGATAACGAACTTTGGAAGGAGCAATTCATAGATAATCTTGCTCCCTCATTTTGTCCCGGTTTCATCGACCTAACGATAAATAACAATGATCCGCACCCTTTGCTGAATCCATTTTCCCGTTTTGAACTTTCTGAGGTGTTAAATAAGGTCAAAGATTCCGCCCCTGGCAAGGACGGGATCACATATAATATGTTAAAAAACATGGCTCCAGAGGGTTTCTTTTTTCTCCTAAAATTTTTCAATGACCTACTGAGTGGACGAGAGGCTGTCCCTACAAGTTGGAGTGAGATTGTGATTTTTCCTCTTTTGAAGCCGGATAAAGATCCAAATTTGTACAATAGTTATAGACCTATAGCATTGACATCATGTATTAAAAAAGTCTTTGAACATCTTATTAAAAACAGGTTTCAATGGTGGATTAAAAACAAGGACCTTTTACCTGATAATCAGTTCGGCTTCAGGGGAGGAAGGAGTACAATTGACTGCGTATCTATTTTCGTTTCAGCAATTCAAACTGGATTTATGCAAAGATCTGCAACCAGAGCATTGTTCCTCGACATTGAGTCTGCATACGATAGGGTTTTGCCGGATATCCTCTATAATGATCTAATAGAAATGGGCATTCCTCAATTTTTAGCATCGTTAATTTTCAATTTAACCCAGGAAAAACACTTTATCATGCGTCATTCTGGTGTAGAAATTTCTCGTCTATCACGTTTGGGCCTTCCTCAGGGCTCCGTGCTTAGTCCCGTTCTATTCAATGTATATGTTAGAAAGATTGAGGATGCTCTGCCTATCGGAGTACGGTTCCTCCAGTATGCGAACGACATAGTCCTTTTTTCCACACATAAGGATCAAAACTTGCTGGAATATCGTTTGTCTCGTGCAATTGAGTCGGTATACTCTTGGCTTTCAGAAAGAGGTCTTAGTTTGAACCCTGGTAAGTGTAGAGATATGATTTTTGCCAAGAGAATTCCCCTATTTAATAGCATTTCCCTACAGGGTGCTCCTATTCCTAGTGTCAATACCAATAAATTCCTGGGAATAATTTTGGATTCAAAATTACTGTGGAATGCACATGTCCCAGATATGAGTTCAAAATGCACAAAATATTTAAATATCTTAAAGAGTCTAACTGGTGTCAGATGGGGAGGAGACCCCAAAACCCTTTTGTACATTTATAGAGCATTAATTAGGAGCAGAATTGACTACGGCCTAATATTAATAAACTATTTTACACTCAAAAACGAGTCAAGGTTCAATAAAATTCAATTCCAAGCTCTTCGTGTCTGCCTAGGAGCAATGAGATCATCTCCTACAAACGCCCTACAGATTGAGGCATGTGAACCCCCTTTGCGTTTCCGAAAACATTTTTTAACTGATAAATTTTTATTAAAAAACTTTTCTATTTCAAATAATCCAGTTATTTACCACATTGAAATTCTAAGGACGAGCATATATGCTCGTGGTGCCTCTGCAGAAAAAAACGATCTGGTGTTGGCTATGAATAATCTAGCAGACGTTCGCTGCCGCATTTCTGTGAAAAATAAACTCCCTATCTATTCTTCGGATTATTTTAAATGTAAGATCAAAATTCCCCATTGCTTTGATTTGGGAATACCCAGGGATCCACGTCTGAAAACGTTTAATAATTCCATCTTTAAGGAGGTAACTAAAAAAAAATGGCCGGACTTTACCCATATTTTTACTGATGGATCAGTGGTTCCCTCAGTGTCTACATCTTATGGGGTTTACAGTGAAAATCTCCAAATTAATTTCTCGTGCAATATACAGTATGTCCACGGATAGAGGGCCCAAGAGGACAAATGGACTAAAATTTTCATTTTTCGACCAAAAGTCATTCTTTATAAAAAGTTCTGCTTGTGTTGAAAAGTCTATTGTCATACTTTAAATTTGAAAATATTATACAGGGGGGTCGAAAAACAAGAAAACATGAAATACTATCAAGAGTAAACTACCTTTATTTTTCGTTTTGGAGCAAAATGACAAATAAAAAAGGATTTCAAATCATATTCAAAGACCAATTGTAAAATTTCAACTCAGTATTCCTAATTTTATTTTTCTTAAAATTTAATTTCTAATTTATACTTTTGTACCCCATTTTACGTTTCCTTTACCTGGTTATTTTGTGAAAATTTACATTAATTAAAAAAATAAACAATGCTACAATGCAAATTGTTAAATTTACGTTACTTGATAATTGTTGATTGTGTCATTTTTGTAAATTTACTGGATTTTTCGAGGTAAACCACTGATTTAAAAAAATTATAAATCGCATACGAATTAACGTCTAAGGAAAAAATCACAAGGGAAGTCATAGCAACTCGTCGCTAAGAGAAATTTCTTATTCCTAAGGATTTTTCCGTATTGATAACGATTGATAATGGTCGAATAAGGAGAAATCATAGCGTAACGTCCACATAATGTTGAACGTTGGTCTCGCTGATTTTAGAGTGGTTTACCCCTCGGGATTTTTTTGACAGAAGTTGGAAAGCCTACTTATGTATGACAAAAAATGCCACAGTGACAGTCTTAGATTATAAATTTCGTTTTATAAAATATTTTCAAAATGCTAACTATTGAAAAAAAATATTTTTGGTGCAGTGTTATGGAACTGGCGACCGTTCATACAGATATGTACAAGAACGATTTGTTGAAAAATTTCCAGGGGTTTCAGTTTCAATACATGGAATTCGTCAACTGGTTAAAAAATTCAAGAACACTGGGTCGGTGGATAATTTAAAAAAGAAGAAGAAACTTTTTGACGAGGATGATGCGGCTACAGTTGTCGTCTTGCAGTCTGTTGTGGAAAACCCTATTCTGTCGTTACGAAAACGAGCTCAAAATTTACAGTTGGTCCAAAAACGCAAATCCAAAAAATATTAAAAGCCAACAATTTTTTTCCATATAAACCACATTTTAATCAAGCTCTAGAAGATGGAGACCAAGCAAAACGATTAGATTTTTGTTTGTGGATAGGGGACAACATTTTAAATGAAAATAATCAGTTTTACAAACTTATTTTATTCTCCGACGAATCCACTTTTTCCACAAATGGTACGGTAGCTTCCCAACACGTACGATACTGGAGCACTGAAAATCCAGAATTCAGAATTCCTGCACGTCGGCAATATCTTAAAAAAGTTAACGTTTGGTGTGGCATTACATATTATGGGATAATGGGACCATATTTTTTTGAGGATACATGCAATAGGAATTCATACATGGAAATGTTGGAAACTTTTCTTTCGGACAAGCTGGATGAGCTGTCATTACACTACCGTGGACAAATGTACTTTCAACAAGACGGCTGACCTGCACATTATGCTCGCGAAGTCACGGAATGGCTAAACAATAAATTTAGAGATCGATGGATTGGCCGAAATGGACCAATTGTGTGGCCTGCGAGGAGTCCGGACCTCACAATTGCTGATGCGTTTCTTTGGGGTCGTTTGAAGCAATTAACGTATCACCAACCGATTGAAAATAATATCGATATTCTAAAACAAAGGATTTCAGATTCAGTTCAAATGATTTCACTTGAAGAGATAAGAAGAAGTTATGATCACATTAGACGGCAGTTTGAGAAATGCGTCAAATACGGTGGAGGGGTTTTTGAATAAATAGGATTTTATATGCTCAATTTTTTATAAAGTTTTTTTTTTTCCTGACATTATGAACAACTTTTTTTAATAAAATATTTGCCTAACTTTTCAATACGGATCTTGTATCTTGACATATTTAGAATAAGAAATTTTAAAATTAATATCTAAGACTGTGTCAGTTTTTTGTCATGCATAGGTAAAGAATACGTGAAATTAAGGTACACAAGTATAAAAATTTAATTTTAGAACTTTAAAAGTAAAAAATAAAATTTGGAATACTGAGTTAAAATTTTACAAATAGTCTTTAGATAGGAATTAAAATCTTTTTTTATTTATCATTTTGCTCCAAAATGAAAAATAAAGGTAGTTTACTCTTGATAGTATTTCATGTTTTCTTGTTTTTCGACCCCCCTGTATAATATTTTCAAATTTAAAGTATGACAATAGGCTTTTCAACACAAGCAGAACTTTTTATAAAGAATGACTTTTGGTCGAAAAATGAAAATTTTAGTCCATTTGTCCTCTTGGGCCCTCTATCCGTGGACATACTGTAGATAAAGCAGCTTCAATCTTCACCGCTGAATTATGGGCCATTTTTAAGGCAGCTTGTATTTGTTTGGAGAGAAAAATCAAAAAATTCGTCATCTTCTCCGACTCAATGAGTGGCATCCAGTCTATTGTCTCCCATTCCAACAAAACTACTACCCTGAATAATCTTATTATAAGCATTAGGGAAATATTTCACGATTTGGCCATGGAAAATTGTGTAGGGATTCTTTGCTGGATTCCTGGACATATGGAAATCTCTGGAAATGAGAAGGCAGATTTACTAGCCAAAAAAGGTGCAGATATGCCAATGAGCAGAGTCAAAATTCCGTGGATGGACTTTGTTAAATTGAGTAGAGATAATTTATACTCAAAATGGAAAGATTATTGGAACAACTCTAAGATTACCAGAGGCAAACGTTATGCAAGTTCGGGAAGGGATTGGCGGATTCCGTGGTTTTACTTACCCGAGTTTGTGGGAAGAAAATTTGTAACAACATTAATTAGAATTAGGCTTGGGCATTGCCTAACCCCGGAACATATGAACCGTATTGGTGTAAAAGAGGATCCCTTGTGTGTGTGCGGATAATTCGGCAGTATCAACCATATTTTATTTAATTGTCAAAATAACCAACATAATTGTAATAATTTGTATAACAAATTGTTAGCCCTGGGGCATCAACCACCTTTAGCATGTATCCCATTGCTTGCTTCATTTCATTTAGATACGTATAGGCTAATTTTTTCATTCTTAAAAGAATCTAATTTAAATTTATGATGTGCTCTAGATTCCTACATTTTTCCGTTCCACCATCCTTACCTATCAAGTTTATTCCTCTCAAATCAATTCCATCACAATACCTGGAAGTCTACATTGCCTCTGGAAGAAACTGTTTCGAAGAGGGTCATTTTGGGGTGTAGAGATCCTGGGATAAAACATCCAGGACCTTAGTTCCCAACTACAAGCATATGGTCACATGGACTAGATTCCAAGCACCAAGGTTGACAATACCGAACTTAGAAAGAAGAAGAAGAAGAAGATCTTCGTCTCCTGATGAAGAATCATCATAGGGTAAGATCTTTTTCTTCACTCTTTGCACATCCTGATTTCGCTTCTTCGTTACTTTCTTTTCTGCTAATTTAGTTTTTTTGCCGCTATTTTCTCACGCTCAGGGGTGTCAGTGGCAATGATGGATCTCTTCTTTACAGGCCCTCTTCCAGATTCCTTTCTTGGTGACGCCTTTGGGAAGGGCAGTACCTTCGATGGCGAAATGAATTCACTGGAAGCAGTTGAGCAACTTGGCAGTTCATCATTGTTTGCAGTGGGGGCACTGGCTTCGGCACCGGCCTCGATGATGGCTTCTGCGATGGCCAAAGGACGGTCAGTGACGTAACAGGACAAATCCTCTTCGCTAAAAACTCCTCTGACAAAGGGACAAATTCCCGTGCATCGGAATCCTGATTTTACATTGAGAGGATTTGCACCCTTATCCCAAGCGTCGACACAAAGCGGTGGTAAATCATAAATAGTCAATGTTTTCCCTGGACGGAAAATCATCCACTTATCAGCACTCTGATTGAAGAACCTCTTAAATGGCCCAAAGACGGTCCTATCAAGCGGTTGCAGCTTGTTCGAGGTGTGTGGAGGAAGCGTTAGAATAATGATGCCATTCTCTTTTGCATAGTCGATGCCTTTAACTGATAAGTGAGACTGATGGTTGTCCATTATCAAAAGTACTTTGTGCTCAACGCTGCAGCGAACATGCTTCAAAAAGTGTTGCAAGACTTTCAGGAAATTCTCAGAAGTCATCCATCCAGATGGATGGACCAAACCAAGAGCCCCGATTTTCACTGGAACACCCAACATCATTCTTGCTGCATCAAATCGTTTTCTCGGGAAAATCCATACAGGAGGCAATGCTCTTCCGCTAGCGCAAATAATGCCGACTTGCGTAATGAGTTCTCCACGTTCTCTCGATGTAACTTGGCCTACTTGATGACGACCTTTGGAGCTGATAACTTTTTGAACTTGTTGTACCGTAGCACACTGGTCCGAATCGACTTATTCTCTGGCCAAAACTCGAAAAGTGAATGTAATAATGTGAAAATTTGTATTTTAGGGTTATTTGGGTTGCTGATTACGAAATTGATATCAAAATTATTAAATGCAAAATGGCGGACTAAAAATGGCGGACTTTTTTGACAAATAATTGGTTAATCGCCATGAAAATGTTTTTTAGGTTTTTGGGGTCGCTTATCACAAATTTGATATCAAAATTATTAAATTCAAAATGGCGGACTTTAAAAAAAAATATTTAGTTAATTCTCCTAAAAAATGTTATTTTTTAGGTTTTTGGGGTCGCTCATCACGAATTTAATATTAAAATTAATAAATTCAAAATGGCGGACCAAAAATGGCGGACTTTTTTGAAAAATAATTAGTTAATTGTCCTGAAAATGTTAATTTTTAGGTTTTTGGGGTCGCTTATCACGAATTTATTATCAAAATTATTAAATTTAAAATGGCGGGCCAAAATGGCGGATTTTTTAAAAATAATTAATTAATCGTCTTGAAAATGTTAATTTTTAGGTTTGTGGGATCGTTAATCATGAATTTAACCCTTAGATGATAACATCTTTTATTTTTCCTTATGAGTAACATCCGTCTCTTAGTCGGTAAGTAAATTTTAATTCTAACGTTATAGGTAACATACGTCCCTCAGTCGAGTAGAGTAACAAAGGGAGTTCTAGAGCGGAAGTGACCCAGACGCTACGTGACGTCAGCAGTAGGCGGTTCTCGATGGTGGCGCCCCCCTGGTGGGTGGTGGGGGGTGATCATATTAGCTATTGGTGGGCAGGCATTTGGGCAACGCCCTCAACTGATAAGCGTAAGTGAGCCTATTGGTGGGTTGTTGGCGGATGGCGGCTGGCGGATGGCGGCCATGTTTGATAGATATTAGCTATTGGTGTTGTGGTTTAAAGTGGGCGGGGCTTAGGTGTTTAGTTGGCATTACTGGAGATGCAAAAGATAAGCGATATGCATATTGGTTGTTTGTGGTTAGCGTATTAGTTTGGTATTACTGGAGATGCAAAAGATAAGCGATATGCATTTGCTGCGTGACTTAACAGTGGTTTGATATCCGGGGGAGATAAGGATTTATTATTATTTTGTTGTAAATTTCATTTTTGACGCCATTTTGAATTGTGACGTCATCCGACTTGTTGTTCGACAAGTTTCGGGGGTTTTAATGCGGTAATCAGTTATTTGGCGATAAGGATTTATTATTTTGTTGTAAATTTTTATTTTTGGTACCATTTTGGCTGACGTCACCCCAATTTGTCCCGACAAGTCTATTTATTGTCCAGAAATCTTTTTCGGTGATCAGTCTTAATATTGCTTTATGTTGATTATGTTAATAATGGGCTTTAAATTGTTATTAATATTTCTGCCAAGTTTGGTAAAATCAAATAATTTAACTGATAAAGATGTTGTAATAAAACATCTCGAAACATTTGGCTACCTTAATAGTTCAGAGTTTTCGTTGACTAGTTATGAAGAAGCTTTAATATTATTTCAGGAGAGATATAATTTAAACATAAGTGGTGAAATAACGAAAGACCTTTTAGAATTTATAAAAACACGTCGTTGCTCTATACCAGATGAAAATATTTTTTGCGAGACGCTTTACCAAAAATAAAAAATAAAAATGAATCTGCAATCCTAAATTTAGACATTTCGAAAAATTTGGGTACACATTGGGTAGCTTATACTAAAAGAAACAATTCTGTTATTTATTTTGATAGTTTTGGTGGTCTTAAACCGCCAAAAGAATTGGTAAATTATTTAGGAAAAAATGTTAAAATTAATTATAATAATGATTGTTTTCAAAACTTTAAACAAATTAATTGTGGCCATTTATGTTTGTGGTTTCTTTATAAAAATAAATGAGATAAGAAAATATGATTAGTCTATTATTAACCGTTGTTTAAAGATAATGTCCCAGCTATTTACATTAAAAAGTAATAATTATGTTTTAAGTATAGATTTTACAAATCCAATACAACTTAATCCAGATTTTGACTACGGTATAGCTTTAATAGGATTTTATTCCTATAACAGCATCCCTAATATTGAAGAAGGTGAAAATACATTTTATTATAAAGAAGCGAGTGTGTTAAAAAAAATAATAATACCAACTGGTACTTATGAAATATTAGATATAGAAACTTACCTAAGACAACAAATTATTCCTGACACCGTTAAAAAGGAAGATTATGATAAATATTTTTCACTTAAACCAAATAATAATACTTTAAAGTGTGAAATTCAAAGCAATACGTTGGAAATAGATTTTACACAAGCAGATGGTATAGGAAAAATATTAGGATTTTCAAAGCGTACTTTAACACATGGTAAAAAACACGAATCAGATCTACCTGTTAATATAATAAAGGTTCGAACCATTCACATTGATTGTAATATATCCACAGGTGCATATTATAATTACCTACCAACGCATACCATTTACGAATTTTCAGTAGACGTTGATCCAGGCTATACAATCAACGAAATTCCCCGAAACCTTATATATTTACCAATAATAAATAAACAGGAAATATCTAATATTACTTTGGTAATTTTAAACCAAGATTTTAAACCAGTTAATTTTCGTGGAGAGGAAGTTATAGTTCGATTGGAATTAAAAAAATTATCATAATGGGACTAACATTCAATAATTATTATAAAAATCCTAGCACAAACAATTTGAAATCAGTTGACAGCAAACGCTTGCCTAGTTCAAACAGCTTAACTAATTCAAATAGACTTTTTCTACAATCATTAGGATATAATGTCATCATTAGACCAAATCTTCGACATCTATCGAAAACCACAGTTTAGTGAAACAATTCAAAAGGTTGACTACAGAACTTATTACCCCTATGTTAAATCTTTTAATAATAGTGATGTTATAGAAATTTCAATAAATCAAAGAGATTCCTGGTTGCTTATGCACGATGCAGCTCTATTAATAGATGGTAAATTGGAAATAACTAAAGGGGATGGCGAGGCAGCCTTAATAAATAATTTTGGAGCTTTTTTGTTTGACCGAATTTCTTATGAAATAAATGGAAAAGAAATTGATGGTATTCGCGACCCAGGTATTGTGAGCACAATTAAGGGCTATCTTAATTACAGTAGCGATGATTCAAATCATTTAGGCATTGCAGGGTGGAATTACCCAGCTCAACCAATAGTCTCAACAATAGCCAAAATTTCAACTTTTAATATACGTATACCATTACATCATTTATTTGGTATATTTAATGATTATCAACTAGCCCAATTTGGTAAACAAACTATACGCCTTGTAAGAGCTCGAAATGACTCT